CAAATTCTGTTAAATCATTGGTATGAAAAAAATTTTATTTCAATTTCAACACACTTTATTTCCTGCAGTAATTTAATTTTATGGTCAATAAAAAATATAAGTGTTAATAAAAGCCAAAAAAAAACTTGGTTGTATTAAATCTTTTGTTTATTTGGTGTAATAAAAGCTCAACAGCAGTGTAACGTCAAACTTGAAGCACTTTATCATTGAAGCTAAAATTTGGAATCTTTTCTTGTATACATATACACGTCAAGTCTAAGGGCTATATTTCACTCAGCTTTTCCGACACATGTTCATTGCCACCTTGACATCGTTAAGTTTTCTTTGGTCTACTACAGCCTACAGTGATAAGAGGGGCAAAAAGTGACAGAAAAAGAATCTAACCAAAAAAGCATCTATTCATTATGGTGATGATTGTTGTTGTAATTGATGACGACAACAGCGACAACGACGACGACGACAACGGCGAAAGCGACGAAAACCACAGTGTAGTATCGTATAGTGAGATTACGCTTGAAAACTACAGAACGGGATCAATGTGCACAAAAACAACAGCACTACATAAACTTATCTTCTTTATATCATTGTTCAATGTTTTAAATGTTGCAGTGAATGGGGGATAGGAAAAGAATGTGGGTCAGAAATCTGTTACAATGTATGAATTTTTAAACTGTTGTAATGAAACGGCAATAAGAACATTCAAGTTTTTTTTGCTACCACTTTCTTTTTTTTTATCTTTGTTTTTTTTTTTTATTTACCTTATTCTGCTGTACTTTGACAACTGCTGAGGCTGAAGACAGTCTGCGGTAACAAAGTTTTTGTTTTTGAACGGCTACTTAGCTTCAGTAGACAAACTGTTAAACAAAGCTTTTTATAGCAATGTATATCTCTCCAGTCATCTTTTGATCCTAATAGCTTCCCTTATGCTTTTAAAGAGAAACGAGAGGAGAAAAGGATAAGGAAGGTAAAATACGAAGTTATAAGAAATTTCAAATTCTTTAGCATTTTTCGTTGTAATACATTACATTAAATGACAAAATTTGATTATTGTCTTTTATTCCACTTTTTTTTTTGTTTTTTTGTTTTTTTGATTATTAAGTTTATATAAAAATTTTTTTTCTTTTACTCTTTTTAGGTCGTCACTGGGGGGAAAAGAGAGGAAAAACTGCAAAAAAAAAAATGGCTACTTAAAGTTGTAAGAATTTCTTCTTAAATTCGGCATTTTCAGCGACAAACTATTGCTGCAAAATTCGACTGCGGTTTTAATCTGTTTTAAAAAAATTTCTTCGTTTTTCTTCCGTCTCGTCTTTATTCTTAACAAATAGTTACAATAACGAAAAGAGAAGGGTGAAAATTTGCTGCAAAAACTTTTTTTTTTTCAGATTTCAGAATTGATTTTCTTTGATTGACCAAAATTTCATTCTTCTCTTTTTTTTTCTTTTTTTATTGTATTCTTTTAAAAAAAAAATTCCAGAGGGAAGAAAAAAGATGATATATGTGAAGTAAGAGGGTACGAAGAATGACTGCTTTGTATTAATTTGTTGAACTGTAAGTTTGATAAAAAATTTTTGGTGTTGAATTTATTCTGTTCTGTTCCATTTTTTTTTTTCCTTTGGTGATCTCTTTTTTTTTTCGTCTAATTGTCGTCATTTTTCGACACTTTTTTTTTCAACACTTTCCTCAACTCCCAACACCGTCTTGCTGGTTCCTTTTAACAGTTGGTTTTCTGTTTGACTTTGTCATTGTTGTCACAGACATTTATAGGATTCGCTTCTGCTGTCAACAATGAACCAGAAGTATTCGTTGATTTTCAGCAAAATCTATTCTTTTCTCTTTCCTCTTTACAATTGTTATCAGTTACGGAATCTGTAGGCTAGTTTTAAGTGGTAATAGCAAAGCTGTCAAGAGTTAGATCTTCTTAAACGGGTCACAGGCTATTGCTCTCAAAAATTTCATTCAATAAATTACTTTTGACGTTTTTTTTTTTTTTTTTTTGAGTTTATGTACAGTTAATTTTAATAAATTTTTGATAACAATTTTTACGAAAATAAATGATTGACAAAATTTGTTTAAACAATAGATGTTTTCAGCAGCATTAAAGCATTTTGCACTGTCTTGAAAAAACTAAAGTTGGGCTGAAAAAAAAGTATGTATTTTTGTCAGCAATATTTCAGAAAAGTAGTGTAACGTTTGATTGTTTCATTCCTGCAATTTTTTTTTT